ATAATAGAGACAATAGTAAATACGTACAGACATACTTCTCTCATCATTCCCTAAACAATACAGTATAACCATTTACATAGCAGTTACGTTGTGTCAGAGATTATAAATCAGCCACAAACAGTTTCAATACAGGAGGATGTGCATAGGTTGTGCACAAACATGACACCATTTTACATAAGCGACTTGCACACTTACATTTTTAGTATGCTCAGGGGTCCCAGAAAGGATTCCCCCATGGACACCCTGTGCTATGCACTTTAAACTCACTGAGCTCTTCCCCATACTCCTTTGTTTGCTTTGCTTTTCTGCAGTATTGAGGATGAAACTCAGGGCCTTATTCATGCAAGGCAAGCACTCTACCACTAAGCTACATCCCCAGCCCCCATGTTCCTTTGAAGTAAAGAGTATTATTAGGGCTGAGATTCACCCATGGAAAGTCATACAGCAAGTAAGTGTTGGAGCCAGAGTACTGTACCAAAAGGGCCGAGGGCCGTAGTCCATGCTTGTGGTCAGAGGCTCCAATTATGAGAGAGCCGAAAAGGTGTGGCAGGGGGCAGAGGCAAGGAATGCAGGGCTCGGGGCTGGGGATTTAGCTCAGCGGCACAGCGCCTGCCTGGCAAGTGCAAGGTTGTGAGTTCGATTCCCAGTACCGAAAAAAAAAAAAAAGGGGGGGAATGCAGGGCTGAAGCTGGGGGTGAGGATGGGGTTTGCGGGAGAGCTCACCTGAATCTCTTCCAGGAAGAGGTTGGTCTCCACAAAGCGGTTGTTCATGAAGCTGCCAGGTGCTTGGCAGTTCTGCAGAAAGCGGGCCGGATTGGGACGCACCTTGGGATTGGCTCCCACCAGCTCACAGTAATGGGGAACCAGTGATTTTGGGATCTGTGGAGGGAGGCTGGTGTCAGGCGAGGGGTGGTGGGTGGCTGGCAGGGGCAGAGGGGCTAGGGCCAGGCAGGAGGCTGGGAGCTGGATGCTCACCTTCCCAGGGTTGCGCAGGGCAGCTGCCCGAGGTAGAGGCCCATTGAAGACTTCCCAGATGAGGCAGCCCAGGCGCCACATGTCTGCTGACCTGTGGCAGTGACCCAGAGCCACTCAGGGCCCCACCATTTCCCAGTGCAGGCCTCTAACCCTCCTTGGTCACCAGCCCTGGCTGTGTCCCTCAGCTGATCCATCAGCCCCGAGCACAAATGTGTTTCATTAGCTCAATTTAACAGATAAAGTGTCTGAGGCTCAGAGAAGCAAGGATATCTGCTCCAGATCACACAGCTTTCAAATTTTGAACCACCCAACACCTAAACCCATGTCCGTCGTGCCCACCCTACCACACTGAGGGCCCTGGAAGCAGAGGGGGGGACTCTGATTCCCTCCCCAGCCAGACAGCAAGGGATAGGGGAGTGGCAGCTAATTTAGGGGTCCCAAGGTTCCAGGGGCCTCCAGAAAAGAGCAGATTGAGGCATGCTGCCCACAGTCACCCACCACTTCTCTCTGAGTACTCTGCCACTGCTGTCAGCCAACTCCGGGGGGTCATACTGCTCAAGCTCAGGGATCCCCTTCCTAGGGGGTCCCCCATCATTGCCCTGGGCTGAGTACATGTAGTCCAGGCCCCCGAGTTTCCACTCTCCAGCTCGGTCCACAAACACAGCGGCCATGCAGACATTGTTGTGAATGAGGCCGCAGTCATTGACCAGGAAGCTCAAGGCTTTCACTACTTGGTGGAGCCCCCAGGACAGCTCCTGCTCCTTCAAGCCACCAGCTTCTGCTCGAGCCTTGAGGTACATTCCCAGCGGGGTCACAGCCTCTGTCACTACGTGGAGGCACTTTTCTGTCTGAGGAAGGAAACAGCGATGTCAGGGTAGCTGAGGGGGCTGGTGAGAGACTCGATGAAGGAAGAGGCAATGGAGAAGCGGAAACCAAATCCAGGGGTGCTGAAGCCCAGCGGGCGGAAACCGAGGGACAAGCAGAGAGAACACAGGAGTGGGAAGCCAGGCAAGGAGGGGCAGATTCGGGCAGACAGGCCAGCAGGTACCTCCAGCCCATCGATGTAGGCCAGGATGTTGGGATGCCGGAGAGTTTTAAGGCGCTTGAAGGCAGCTTTGGCCACTTGCGTCTGTTCCTCTGCGCCAGGCTTCACATCGTACACGAAGATGGACACCGGGCTGCCCGTGGCCTGGGGGAGGACAGCACGGCCTAAAGGGTGTGGGCCGGGCTGCCCAGCGCCCGGGCCGCTCTCGCCAGCTCCGGGGGTCCGCGCAGCAGGAGGAAGGCCCGGCCGGTGTCTCCCTTAGGGCCTGGCCGGCCCACGTGACCCTCGCCCGTCGGTCAGTCTGTCCCTCAGTCCTTCCGCCCGCCACGTCGGCACCGCCGGGTCCCCTCCGCGGCCCGCCGCCCGGAGCCTCCTCCGCCACGTCAGGCCCAGAGCGGCGCGGCGGGGCCGGATGCGAGGACTAGGCAAGGCCGAGGTCGGCCGCGGCCTGCGGAGCGGGGCTGCACTCACCTTCTTGCGGCCGCGGTGCAGGACCCAGGGCCCGGGCGGGCTGCCTTCGGGAGGCTCCTGACTGAGCTCGAACGGGAAGTCACGGACCGGGTCTCGGGCAAAGAACCACATCGTCCCGCCGCCGCCGCCGCGGGCTCGGGCACCTTCGCTCCGGGTCCGCCGGCCGCCCGAGCCCGGGGGGCGGGGCCTGGCC